AACATTTAGTGAAGACCTAATACCGATCCTCCTTAAAGTTTTCTGAAAAGTAAGAGGAGGAAATACTTAAAAACCCATGCCATGAGGCCAGCATCACTATACCATGCAAAGACACTACAGAAAAAGAAAATTACAGACCAATATTGCTGATGAAAATACATGCAAAAATACTCAACAAAATATTAGCAAACTGTATTAAAAAATACATCAAGAGGACCATACATCATAATCAAGTGGGATTCATCCCAGGGATGCAAGGATGGTACAACATTAAAAAAATCCATCAGCATCAAACACTACACATCAATAAAAAGGACTTAAATCACATGATCATCTCCATAGATGCTGAAAAAGCATTTGACAAAATTCAACATCCATTCATGATAAAAACTCACAACAAAATAGGTACAGAGGACAAATACCTCAAGATTTTAAAGGCCATATACAACAAACCCACAGCCAGGGGTGGGAGGGAGAAGGGGATTAAGGGATATTATGATTAGTTCACATGGTGTGGGAGAGGTCATGGGGAAGACAGTGTAGCACAGAGAAGACAAGTAGTGACTCTGTGGCATCTAACTACACTGATGGGCAGTGACTGAAATGGGGTATGGGGGCTGAGGGGGAGAACTGGCAATATGGGTGAATGTAGCAACCACAATATTTTTCATGTGAAACCTTCATAAGTGTATATATCAATAATACCTTAATTAAAAAAAAGTCGCCTTAAAAAACCAAAACAAAAAAACCCACGCACCCACCCAGAGAAACCAGGATTAGAAGGGAACTTCCTGAAAATGGTAAAGGCATTTATGAAGGATCTATATCAGACTCAAAGGTTATACAGTGAAAATGTTCCCCCTATGATCAGAAACAAGACAATGGTTAACAGTATTAACCACTGCTGTTTAACACTGTACTGGAAGTTCTAGCCAGAGCAATTAGGCAAGAAAAAGAAATAAAAGATATTCAAATTGGAAAGGAAGAATGAAAACTACTTCACTGATGACATGATCCTATATAGCAAAATCCAAAAACTCAAAACAAATGCAGCATCATTGTAGGATACAAAATCAAATCACAATACACAAAGAACTGTTGAGTTTCTATAGAACATTAATGAGCAATCCAAATAGGAAATTTAAAAACTGATTCCATTTACAACAGCATCCAAATAAAATACATAGGAATAAATTTAACCAAATAAGTTAAAAGATTTGTACCCTGAAAACAACAAAGCACTTCTCTAAGAAATAAATATGACCTAAATAAACAGAAAGACGCCTGAATTTATGGATTGGAAGATTTAACAATGTTAAGATGTCAGCATTACTCGGTATGATTGATGTATATATGCAAGGCAGTCCCTATCAAAATTCCAATGGACTTGTTGCAGAAATGGAAAAAGATAATTCCTCAAATTCATAAGGAATTGCAAGAAATCCCAAGTAGCCAAAACAGTGTTGAAAATAAAGAAAAATTTTGGAAAATTCAACTCAATTTCATAACTTACTACAAAGTTACAATAAACAAAACAGTCTGGTACTGGCAAAAGGACAGACATTGACAATGGAATGGAACTCAGAGTCCAGAAATAAACCTGTACACCTATGGTCAATTAATTATTCACAGAGTGCCAAAATGATTCAATGGGAAGGAAAGGGATAGTCTCTTCAACTGATGGTACTAAGACAACTAGATATTCACAGGCAAAACAATGAAATTGGACCTCTGTGTCATACCAGATACAAGTATTAATTGAAAATACATCACCTGCCTAAATATAAAAAAGCTAATGGAATAAAACTTTCAGAAGACAACACAGTGATAAATCTCCATGACTTGGATTTAGCAATGTATTCTAAGACAGCAAAAGCAGAGGCAACAAAAGGAACAGCATAATCTTAATGAAAATTAAAAAATTTTGATATATCTAAGGATATTATTAGGAAAGTGAAAAGACACTCTATTAAAGGAAACATTTGCATATCATATACCTGATAAGGCTCTACTACCAAGAATATATAAAGAACTCCAAAAGGACAAGTTTAAAAAAGAGCAAAGGCCTTGAAAAGACATTTCTCTTAACAGATATAGAAACAGTGAACAAGTACATCATTACTCATTAGGAAAATGAAATTCAAAACTATGGTAAGCTGACACCTTAATCTACTAGAATTACTAAAAAATTTTTAATGGAAAACAAAAAATATTGGTAAGGATGTGGAAAAACTGAAACCCTTGTACATTTGTTGGTGAGAATGTAAAATGATTTGGCTTGCTGTGATGAATGGTTTGGCAAGTCCTCAAAATGTTAAAGAAATTACCATGTGCAAAAATAAAACTCTTCAAAGGACACATGGGGTAAGCTCCCTGACAAGGTCTTGGCAATTATTATTTGTATGATACCAAAAGCAAAGGCAATAAAAGCAAAAACAAACAAGACGGATGACATCAAACTGAAAAGTTTCTGCACAGCAAAGAAAACAATCAACAAAATGCAACAGCAACCTACGGAATGGGGGAAAATATTTTCAAGTTATTTATCTGACAAAGGGTAATGTCCAAAAATATATAAATAACTCATACAACTCAGTAGCAAAAAGCCCAATCAGACTAAAAAATGGGCAAAGAAACTGAATAGACATTAGCCCAGAAAAAGACAAATGGACAACAGGTATTTTAAAATGTGCTTAACATCACTAATCATCAGGGAAAAGCAAATCAAAACCACAATGAAATACCACCTCACACTGTTAGAATGGCTTCCAACAAAAAGAAAAGAGAATGTGGAGAAAGGGGAACTGTCGTGCACTGTTTGACTGGAATGTAAATTGTTACAGCCACTATGGAAAACAGTATGGAAGTTCCCTAAAAAAACTTAAATATGGAACTACCTACACCATGTGATCCACCAATCCCACTTATGGGTATATATCCAAAGGAGATGAAAACAGAATCTCAAATAGATATCTGCATTCCCATGTTCACTGCAGCATTATTTGCAATAGTCAAGATATGGAAACAATGTAAGTGTCCATCAATAGATAAGTGGATAAAGAAGATATGGTGTATATATACATAATGGCATATTATTCAGCCATTAAAAAAGAAGGAAATCCTTGCATTTGCAACAACATGGATTGACCTTGAGGACATTATGCTAAAGATACACAGAGAAAGACAAATACTATTGCACATTATCATTTATATCTGGAATCTTAGAAAAAAAAGTCTAACACATAGCAACAGTAGAAAAGTGGTTGTAAAAGACGAGGGTGGGTGGTAGGGAAAATATAGAAAGCTTGGTAAAAGAGTACAAATTTTCAGTTATAAGTTCTATTATATCTCAGAAATGTTTAAAAAGACAAGTTCTGGAGACCTAATGTAAAACATGGTGACTGTATTTGATAATGCTGTATTGTATAAATGAAATTTGCTAAGATAGAACTTAAGTTTTCTCACTAAAAAAATAAATATGTGAGGTTGTTAGATGTGTTAATTAACCAAATGAGGGGAATACTAGAGAGGAGATGAAACAAAAAAGAAAAGAAATTCCACTACTAGGTATATGCCCAATGGAACTGAAAATGGGTACTCAAACAAATACATATTCATGCATGTTCATAGCGGCACTATTCACCATAGTCAAAAGCTAAGATCCCAAATATCCTTCAATGGATAAATGGGTAAACAAATTGTGGTTTATACATAACATAAAATATTTTTTTGCCATAAGAAGTACTGATACAAACTACAACATGGATGAGCCTTGAAAACAAGCTAAGTGAAAGAAAATAGACACAAAGTCACATACCATATAATTTCATTTATTTGAAATGTCCAGAATAGTTAAATGCAGAGACAAGATGCAGATTGGTAGTTGTTTAGGGGTGACAGAAAAGGAAATAAGATGAATAGATAAATAAAATGTGGTATATATACCCAGTGAAGTATTACTCAGCCATAAAAAAGGAACTCTTGCCATTTGCAACAACATATATGACCTAGAATCTCATGCTAAGTGAAATAAGTCAGGCAAAGAAAGATAAATACCATGTGGCTTCAGTTATATGTGGAATCTAAAAAACAAAACAAAACAAAAAGAAACAGACACATAAATATGGACAACAGACTGCTGGTTACCATAGGGAGAGGAGGAAAGGGATTGGCGAAATAGGTGAAGGGGATAAAGAGGTACGAACTGTGTATTGTAAAGTAAGTTAGTCATTGGAATAGAACTACAGCACAGAGAATACAACCAATAATATTGTAATATCTTGGTATGGTAACAGGGAACTATACTTATGGTATGCATCTAGGACTGTATACAATTATCCAATCAATATGTTATATCTGAAACCAATATAATATTGTATATCAACTTTATTTCAGTAAAAAAAATTACAACAAAAAAAGGGAAACAGGGAGCAACATGAGTAGTTTCCTTTTGGGATAATGAAAATGTTTTAAAAATTAGACAGAAGTGGTAGTTGCATACATTGTGAATGTACTAAACCCCAAAGAACTGTTCACTTTAAAACTATTAGCTCATGTAACTTCAATTTCACCTCTATAAAAAAAGTCAATATAAATTTTTTAAATGAAATGTTTATATATGGCATAAACATATAGTTGAAGAACACCTTAAGAAAAAAGATCCAATCCCATACCTTACCTTAGATATTCCACCTATCCAATGTAAAATCATTTAAGACTCTTTGGATTTATGATTAAGTTATAAGACAGGGGAAGAGATGAGGACAATAGTAGCAACCCCCTCTAAGAGTCATTTCATTTTTCTTTACACTTAAATTTGCTGCACTTGCAATTTGATAGTGAGAAACTTGGCATATTAGAGAGTGAAAGTATAATAATGATATTCAAAAGGCAAATTTTAAAAATGTTGGCCAAGTTTAAACTTCAGTCTAAACAATATAAAATGCAGAAACGTATACATGCTGAACATGACATTTCATAGGGCTGTGATTATTTCTTACCTCACTATCTAAGAAGTCAGAAAGGAGTTTCAGAATATTCCTGGCTGTAGCAGTCTCATCTTCATCTTCCTTTGACTCTTGTTCTTCTTCAGTGTTTATTTCTGCTTCACTTTGAAGGGCTTTGATATTTTTAGTTTTAAATGGTTCAATCCCAAATGTCATCAGTTGGTCAAAGATTGCCTTCAAAGCACTTACTTTTATTGTCACATCATCAATTTGCAAAACCTAAATTGAAATATACCCCACCAAAAAAAGTAAATTTAGTCAAGTTTTTAATTTTGCCTATGCTTCATAAAATGAACACACATCTTACTTTCTTAGTCTAATTACAAGTGTCAAATCCACATAAAACATCATTTCTCAAAAATTAAAATTTCCATTTTAAAGTTATTATTATTGCTTTGTACCATAACATTTAGAGCTATATTTCCTTCAGAAAAAGTTCACCTTCAGTCAAAAAAAATTTCCTGGAACTAAAGTGAGGCTGAATTATATTATTTGTTGCCTTTTATTTAAAAAGAACAAATATGTCCAACTACAATTTTATCTTGAATTTTTTTTAGGTCTAGAAAAACTGTTGGATTATATTGAAATTGTTTTGAGCCATCTATAAAGACAAAAACATTACATTCTAACCAATGAAAAGCATTCATCAGAACATCAGTACTCTTCTGGGTTATAAGGTTTCATTAAAGATACATTTTTCTCTTATTAGCTTAATAAATTCATATTTCATTAATAGTGAATTCAATTTTCAATGAACAGACTCATTTATAAAAGTGAACCATAAAACCAGTTTTTATGAGTCTATCCTGCATTAAGAAAACTGAATTCCTAGACAACCAAATTTCAAAGCCATGAAAAATATAAAGAACTGAATATTTCTCTTATGAAGAGGCTTACTATATTCTTTAATGAACTTAAATTTTAGTCATTGATAAACTACGTAGCTATATAGCTTAGCCTTTAAAATGAATAAAAATCACATGCAAGCTGATCAAATTAGTGAATCAAGAAAAATGGCTCAAAATCACAAAACTTTGAAGGAAATTTCACAATCATTTATTAATGTTTTCTTACAGCATAACCTGCAAATCCATAAAGCCAAATATTTGTAAGAATTTACTATCATGACTGTTCTCTACAAATTCTAAACATGCTATTTTTTCAGCAGCAATTCAGTTTCCTTGTTCTCAGCTCCTTCCTGGCTAGCAGTAGCTCACAATACCAGATATTTATTTAAGATTCTTCAGTGAAGTAACTTCCCTCTCTTGCCTTTCTAACAAGGGTGTATACATTTCTTAAATCAGTTTTTATTAATAAAACTTGATAAAAAAATTACTTTCCCAAAAGACTGCTATTTCCCCTAAATCTAAAATCTTCCTATGATAGCCCAGAAGTACCTTTATATAAACAAATGAATACATTCAGTGATTAAATTCTTTTGATCATGAGTGTCTTTAAGGACCTGATAAAAAGATTAAAATCCCATCCCAGAACATATTTTAAAAAAGCAAAATTTCACATACAATTTATTTTACTACACTAGAATCTGAGCTCATTCACAAACATTTTTAAGTAAAAAAAAAATTGTATCTAGCTGGGCTTTTCAGGCAAATATTAATAGACAGCAGTTCCTGAAAAAAGCTTAGAGAACAAAGTTGTTTAACTAAAAAAAAAAAAGAAATGTAAATTTTTAATTATTTAAAACTTTAATTCAATGTGAAGGCTGCTATTCTACTGACTGCTTTGACTTGAAAGGAAAATTGTGGAATGGTCCTGATAAAGAACATTAATGTATATTTCACATCAGCTTGATTCTGACAATTCTTTTTCATTACAGAAAATTATATAGGAACAAACAGTATCAATGCTCTAGTAAGAGAGGGATGAGTTAGTATTCAGTAACGTCAGATACTCCATGACAGTCTCAAGCATCAAACTCATTGCATTCTGTCTGCAATAACCAAAGCACTTACTATTAATATTGTCCGCAAAAATTAAAGGGATCAAATATAATTTCATTTTTAAAGATCAAGTGAACTTAAATATCTTCTGAAAGCATTCTCTGGTATTTCCTTTGCTGCAGTACTAGAAATTTTACATAAATCATCTGTCTCCACTCTCCTCTATCAGAGTACTAACTTGACTACACGACTTATAATTTCTTGGCAACATTCATAATGGTATATAGGACATCTTAATGTTTTACCTCATTTTTAGTGCCAAAAAAAAACACTTATTAATAGACATAAAGACTTCACTATCAGTATTTTTAGTAAGATTTTCTCTAGTTAAAAAAAAGTAATGACCAGGGGTCAATCTAGCAGTTCAAGACCCATCTTCTAGAAAGCCACGAAGCTGAAGAAGAGAAGTTATCATTTTAATTTCTTAACAAAGAACTCTTTGAAAACGTAGGCCTTTATTTCCTGGGCACCTATGAAGTCAATACATTTCACAATAGTAAATAAGACCTTTTTAGAATTACCAGCAGAATCGCTGATGCTAACACGTGCTGATGTAAAAAGTAACAACTTTCTATAATATGCGCAGATTCATTCAGTATCTTGGAGCAAAACCAGAAGTACGGCTAAGCACTATAAATGATTCATCTACACAAAGTACTAAGATTTTCTTCCAGTTTGTTTGAGAAAGAAACTATACCATTTTAAAGATTATACTGACATTCCAAGTTTCCAAAAGGATGTCACAATAGAAATTTATCCCTGATAGTAACAGGGTAAGACGATAAAGATAAAAAGAGCTGCATCAGACACTTCATCGATTAGATAGATAAGTGCTCCAAAAAAAAAATTAAAATAAAACCCTGAAATTCCAGAGGATTGTCCTTTGACGAAAGTATGGTTTTAATCTAACTTTGACACAAGCCACAAGCAGTCTGACCATTTCTAGAACATATGAATACCCAAGTTCTACTTTTATGCTTTCTTTGTCTTGGCAATGTCATTTTAACACTAAAGGATGCTTCAAGGTAAAGGTTTCATGGTGGGGAAAATTCAACTATTGGTTGAGTTCAGTCTTTCAAAACAATGTTCATCAACATCACGATCCATGCTGTCACATGTTTATTTTCATATTTTCAGGACACAGAGCACTCCCATCTACCTGTCGGCAAGCAATGTGCACTAAAATTCCTTGCAGCTTTTTTATCCAATTAGACTTGGCAACACCAGATGTTACACGTCTTTTACATGAGAAGGTGGAGGGAGGCACACTTTCCAAGTTAAGTTAGCCCGAAATGTTAAAAGACAATATCCAAAGGAGTTTTAAAAGTCAAATGCCCTCCAGCGGTAGAACAGATTCCATTCCAGTTATCTGTCTGCTCAGTAGCACTGCAGCAACTGCCCTCTCATCCCTGTATTATCAATTTTTCCCTTTCAACTAGGTCATTCTCCATATATAAACAGGCTGTAATTTTTCTCCATCTTAAAAAAAAATTAAAACCAAAAAAACCCTTCTTTTTACCCCATACCCCATTCTTGCGACCACCCCATTTCTCTGATCCTCCCAATAGAAAATAAAATCTTGGACTAGTTTACACTAACTGTGTCCAACTCCTCACCCATAATTCTCTCCTCATCCTACTCCATTAAGGATTTACCCTGTACAAAACCTACTCTAATGAAAATCACCAAACACTTCCTTACTTGCCCACAATGGTCAATTATAAATCCTTATCAACTTATCACCAGCACTGGACAGTTAGATCATTCTAGGCTTTCTTTTTTTCAATTTTTTTATTAAGGTATTATTGATATACACTTTATAAAGATTTCACAAGAAAAACAATGTTACTACATTCACCCATATTATCTAGTCCCTCAACGTACCCCATTACAGTCACTGTCCATCAGTATAGAAAGATGGCAGAGTCTCTGTTTGCCTTCTCTGTGCTACACTGTCTTCCCCCTGATCCCCCCACACCATGTGTACTAATCATAATACCTCTCAATCCCCTTCTCCCTCCATCCCAACCCACCCTCACCCACCATTCCCCTTTAGTAACCGCTAGTCCCTTTTTGGAGTTTGCAAGTCTACTAACTGTTTTGTTCCTTCAGTTTTGCTTCGTTGTTATACTCCACAAATGAGGGAAATCATTTGGCACTTGTATTTCTCTGCTTGGCTTATTTCACTGAGCATACATAATACCCTCTAGGTCCATCCATCTTGTTGCAAATGGTAAGATTTGTTTCTTTCTTATGGCTGAATAGAATTCCATTGTGTATATGTACCACCTCTTCTTTATTCATTCATCTACTGATGGACACTTAGGTTGCTTCCATATCTTGGCTATTGTAAATAGTGCTGCAATAAACAAAGGGGTGCACATCTTTTTGAATCTGAGAACTTGTATTCTTTGGGTAAATTTCTAGGAATGGAATTCCCGGGTCAAATGGTATTTCTATTTTTAATTTTTTGAGGAACCTCCATATTGCTTTCCACAGTGGCTGAACTAGTTCACATTCACACCAGCAGTGTAGGATTTCTTCGCATCCTTGCCAGCATTTGTTGTTCTTAAGTCTTTTCAATGCAGGTCATCCTAACTGGTGTGAGGTGATATCTCATTGTGATTTTAATTTGCATTTGCCTGATAATTAGCAATGTGGAGCATCTTATCATGTGCCTGTTGGCCATCCAAATTTCTTCTTTGGAGAAGTGTCTGTTCATATACTCAGTCCATTTTTTAATCAGGTTATTTGTTTTTTGGGTGTTGAGGTGCATGAGTTCTTTATATATTTTGGATGTTAAACCCTTGTCAGATATGTAATTTACAAATATATTCTCCCACACTATAGGATGCCTTTCTGTTCTGTTGAAGGTGTCCTTTGCTGTACAGAAGCTTTTTAGCTTGATGTAGTCCCATTTGTTCATTTTTGCTTTTGTTTCCCTTGCTTGAGGAGATGCATTCAGGTAAAAGTTGTTCATGTTTATATTCAGATTTTTGCGTATGCTATTCTCTAAGAGTTTTATGGTTTCATGACTTACATTCAGGTCTTTGATCCATTTCATGTTTACTTTTGTGTATGGGGTTAGACAATAATCCAGTTTCGTTCTCCTGCAACTAACTAGCTGCCCAGTTTTGCCAACATCAGTTGCTGAAGAGGCTGTCATTTCCCATTGTATGTCCATGACTCCTTTATCGTATATTAATTGACCATATATGCTTGGGTTTATATCAGGGCTCTGTAGTCTGTTCCATTGGT